CAGCCTCCCAAGTAACTGGGACTACAGGCATGTGCCACCATGCCCGGCTAATTTTTTGTATATATATTTTTAGTTGGCCAATTAATTTCTTCTCATTTTTAGTAGAACGGGTCTCGCTCAGGATGGTTTCGAACTCCCAACCTCCAAGCAATCCGCCGCCTCGGCTCCAGAGTGCTAGATTACAGGCTGAGCCACCGCGCCCGGCCTATTGAAATTTTTTTAAATATCAAGAAATTGTCTGAATAGTAGAAATCTATTATTGTTTGTCTATATTATAAACTCAGATAAACCTTTTAAAATTAGTTAATTACTATCTGAAATTAAACTGTATTTAGAATATTAACACTGGCCAGCTACACACATATATTGTCAACTTTAGTTTCATTTCTATCTTATGAAAGAGCCATTGGGGAAAAAAAGTTGAAGAAATTTACCTTTTCTCCTCTGTAGCCCTTATTTTTAGTTTTATGCTTTAAAACCTTTCCCTTAAATCTGATTATTTAGCAACCTACTTTATCCCAACCAATTATGCTTCATGCCAAGAGAGAAAATAAATGGTGACACATGATAGCAATATAATCAATAAAAAAATAAAATATTCCAATAACTTGTCCTATGTTCATGATGTCCAACATATCATTTGAGGGACACTTTTCACTAATATGAGCATTGATTTGATAGCATAAGACATAAGCAAATTCATAATATGTAAGTTGTAGCTACAAATGTAGGAAAGATTAAGAATGAAACTAATTACCTGCAAGTACAGATGACAAGGCTAGAGCATAGTTATACAGAGTGCTGATACAAAAGCATCGATGCTAAGTTCTGATACTCAAGATGCACCCTAAGAAAGATCCATTCAACAGATTGTATTTACCACTTTCGATACAGAAGGAAAACTAGTTTAAACTACTCAAGGACCGTTTTCACTACAACAGTATTAAGAATCAGATCTTGAAGTGAAGATCTTTGCAGAAAAAACATAACAAAGGGACAGCAAGACGATTCTAACTATAAAGTGAGCAATCTCTACTGTGCAGACAGAAACATAAAACTAATCCATTCCCTCCCAAAAGGTTATTTTCTAAACAGGAGTCAGAACCTTTCCGAGAATAGTCAGACAGTAAAACATTTGCTTGCTGGCCACATTCAATCTCTGCACTGGATATTTCATCATAAAGCTATCATACACTACGGAGTTCTGTGTCTGCCTTCTTCCTGGCATAATGTTTTCGGAGTTCATGCGATGTCCATGTAACTCTGTAGTCTGTTACATTCTTTATTGCTAAATAGTATTGCATGGATAACAGCACATTCTAAAGTGGAAATTTATTAAGCTTTGACCATACATAACACTACGTATACATCCATGAAATCATCACCAGGTCAGGATAAGCAAACATATCAATTACTCCCAAAATTCATCATGCCTTATGAATTCCGTCCTCCTGCCCTTACCACACACTTTTGTCCCAAGGCAACCCACTGCTGCTATTCTTCACTATACTTACTCTCACATTGTCAGAATTGTACATAATAGAATATACAAGATGTATTCCTTTTTCCAACTCTTTCACTCAGTATAATTATTTTGAAATCCACAATGACTGTATGTATCAAAGAGTTTGTTTTGTCTTTTATCACTAAAGGAATATCTTTGGTTTATACATTCATCTTGCGAACATTTGGAATTTCTCAGTTTGGGGCTACTACAAATAAATCTCATATGAAACCAACTTGCTTACAATCTTTGTATGGCCTTATGTTTTTATTTCTCCTGGGTATCAAAAGTGGAATCGCAGGACATATTACAGTAGGTGGATACCAATTTAACGAAACTGCAAATGGTTTGCATGAGGTTTGCATCATTAACACGCTCACAACACTATCAGTAGTGTTCTCAGTCCTCCACATCTCACAACACTTTATGGCCAGTCTTTTAATTTATCCATTCCAACAGATTGTAGTGATAGCCTCATTGTGTTCTCACTCTACATTCCTAACAACAAAGATCGAATGGGCACTTCTGCCATATGTTTGTCATCGGTATACCTGTGGAAAGTGTGTTCAAATCTTCAATTTTAAATTGGGCATTTTATTATGAGTTTAAATTTTATTATACATTCTAATTAATCGTGTATGACTTTCAAATATTCTTTACACTCTAATTCTTTTTGTTACCTTGAAAGCATTGTTAAAGAGCAGAAGCTTTTAATTTATAAAAGGGCAATTTCTTTAT